TTACTCCCCAACACTGGCTATAAGAGACACTGTATGCTTTCCCATAAGTGCACTAACCAACTTGAGGTCTGGGGGCTGTTTCCTTAAAGCATCAGGATGTCAGTTTATATGTAAAATAACACTAATAAAATAGAATAATGACATAATTATAAATGTCGTCACAGATAAAAATCTAAATGTTGTCAAAAGCCACAAACTAGCTCCACACTACAGAATTTGGTATTTAAAACTAGTGAATAAATGTATTGCAATTGTTTCAGTCGATTCCATATATCCATAATAAAATAAAACAAAAGTATTAATTAATAAAATGTTACTTTTTTCCCCAATTAGTTTTTCCTAGAGGTCACATTGGAAACACACTAAGATAAACACATTATAGCTCTCCTACATTCTCCTGCAGCATGAATTCTCCGTTATTTATTTTTCTTCTCGTAATGTTGTATCACGCCTATGCATATACACGCATATGAGGACTTACTGCAAACCAAATCTACATTTAACAGCTGTCTTTGCCCAGACTCTAACTAAATGTTGCTGTTGCTGTTGGTTAAAACCTCATTTGTAACATTGTTAACACATTTATTTCTGGAGGGGATTTTTGACTTTTCAGAATGCCCTTTAACACCAACAGATCGACTTGTGAAGTTCATACATACAGACAGCAAAAAAGGTTCTCCAACAAGAGATCACCTTAATTATTATTAAGGTTATGAAAATATAAAAATAATATTAACACTGTAAAATTTTGAGGTCTTACATCCATTCCTCCCGCGTCAAATTAATAAAGATGTTCATTTGGTCATCCAGCAGTAGGCGAAAGGCTGCGCTCAGGTGATGGCTCTCTTGTACAGACCGGTCATTGTAGATCAATGCAAACTCTGACCTTGGAGACAGAAGGTGAGTGGAGATTATTACAGACAGTCGACGGACAGATGGGCAGGTTGTAAAGTGTTCCTGTGCATTAAAGTGAAAACTTCAATACGACAGTTGCTCTGAGTGAAGGAGGTGAGACTGAGATAAAAGGAGAGTCCTCTGGGAACAATTTAATGACTGTGACTGCAAGTCTTTAATGATGAATTTTAAAGTGCTGAAGAGGAGGTGGGATGTAATGAAAAATGACACAGTGTGGGTATTAATGACTCACTAAAGTAAGATAATTAACGGATTCATCAATCAAGCATCCACTCATTGTCATTCAGCTGTTAAAATGGGTAATAAAGCCCACTGTGGACAGTTTTCCAATTAGTATTTATTTTTAAGCTCCAGCCACCTTTCACCATGAAAATAAACATTGAATAAAACACTTAAGGAAATGGTTTTAAAGACAACACAAAGGTGTGTGTTAAAGTGGTCTGTTGGGGAGTGTAAAAAGTGTGTGGTAAAAAAGGAAAAATACTGGTAAGACTTCTGTGGGTCTGTAATTTCCTAATATTCATGATTCAATTCAATTGAATTTTATTTATACACCACATCACAACAACAGGTGACTCTAGGCACTTTACGTTGTAAGGTAGACCCTACAATAATGCATACAGAGAAAAGCCCAACAATCATATGACCCCCTATGAGCAAGCACTTTGGCGACAGTGGGAAGGAAAAACTCCCTTTTAACAGGAAGAAACCTCAGACAGAACCAGGCTCATTTATTCATAATGTTTTCCCTTTCATTGCTATGCAGATGACAGAGACATACTTTTTAAAAAAAAAAAAATCTAGTGATCCTAAAAGTCTAGCTGATGACTTTATAACTATTTAGTCTATATAGTTATATTTCGTAAATATTGAGTGGAACATTTTCGTCAACTCAATACCTGAAAATTAGAAATTATGTTACTTAATCTTACAAATTACAGTGCAAAAGTCTCATTTCTTTATATTTCTGCTTGGAAAATGAGAAAAAATGTGTCTTTTCTTGATGAGGCTTCAGTGGGCAGCAGATCATCAAACAAAAACCCCAAACATTCCTCTGAAAATGGTCAAGGCACAAGAACTTGATGCTCGAGACTTTTGCACAGTACTGCACAGTAGAGTACTTTTCCTTTGGTAATCGCCAGGCTACTACGTTCTCCTCTGGTTTACATGGAAAGTTAATTTCTTGGGTTCCTACTCATTTTAGCAGACACACATTACCCCGATCCTGATCCCCTACTAGCTCTCTGCCTGTTTTAGAATTGATTTTAAGTGCCATCACATTTAACACATGTTCGTGTCTGGCCCTGTGCCACATTCACGCAGCACTTCTGCCTGAAAGTTGAGGCTTAATGTCAAATGCAGTCATGCCTTTCCCATCAGGGCCTGTCAGCTATGAAATGAGGAGAAATGTTTGAAATGAGGAAGTCTCGTAGAATCAGAGGCTTCCAATAAATCACTTCGTAAAATACATTTTTATAGACGTGCTTTTATGCCATGCCATTTCAAGTGATGTCGTCCTTTATAGGTTTTTAATGTTTGAATAACATCTCTCTCGTCTTCTTTTTTAGCCTTTCATTATTTGTTTTGCACCCACATTTTAATCTTCTTTTTTTCTTTTGAATCTGTCTCAACTTTAAATAAATTGCACCTGTTATTTTTGTTGTTTTATTCTCTTTGTGTCCTTTTGCTTGTCAGGCAAGGCACTTTGTAAAGTCTGCTGTTAAAGGTGCTATACATAATAACTTATTGCATTGATTTTTCAGCCCATATCGTATATATTACATATCTATCTCAAAGTCAGATGATGTTCCAAGTAGAGTTACTGACTTTGGGATAGATCTGCTGTTCAGATGTGTGCTTTTACTGTGGGCAGGCATCTTTGTACTTTATTCCCAAAATAAAGCATGATGATGATGGGTGCCAAGAGACTACGTTCTTCAGTCCTCATAAGTGGAAAGTCTAAAAATACGATGTTCTGTCCATGAAGTTGTGTTTGCCTTAGAGGGTTCTCACTCGCCCGCTTACTAAAACTATACAGAGGAAAGAGGAAAACTATACTGAGGTACGCTTTAAGAAAGCGTACCTCACTATTTCTGTTTTTCCTGATATCTCTTACTATTTTACAGTTTCATAACAGGAGGTGGCTCATATATAGCTGAGAAAATATTGCAGAAAAAGAGCTTACTTTGTGTGGATGTGAAAGTTATTTGTAGTTCCCGTGTGTTCATAGTCATGGATGGCTGCAGCAAACAGGGATGCCATCACCTCGAGCTCTGTCAGCCAGTGCTTGATAGACACAAATATAAAACCATTAAAAAACAGTACTATAATGGTAAAAAGAAAGTACACCATCTTTCAGTTAAAAGTGTTAAATATATACATAATAAAAGTCATCTGGTCCTTATCTGGCCTTAGAAGTAGCAGAATACAACCACCCACCAAGGTGGTTGTATTTGCGCACCGCAGCAGCTTCACCCATGACACTTTTTATAGCTCCACATTCATGTCCAGTGGTGTAGGTGCTTGCCCACACAGAGCCTACAAGTGTTAAAAATATGCAAAGTGTCCACTGCAGTCACTGCCTGTGCTTTTAATGCAGCATTTTTATTTATATTGGAATGTTTTATGGTTCGCTTGTATAAGTCATGTGCAGTTAGGATGTTGGAGCACATCGGGGTGGTGGGTAAAGACCCCTTTCCGCTCATTGTCTAAATGGAACCATGTACAACGGAAATGTACACAGACACATTCGCAAGACCATAAATTATGCTTTACTTGCCAAGCCAAAAGTCTGTATGTGCAATATTTCCAGAGACATCCTTCATAAAGGTCAGATGATGAAGACAGCAACTCATAGAGTGCATAGATACAATGTAACAAGTTGAAAGTCCTGACATGGGAACTCCCTAACGTGGGGGAGGCCTTGAAAAACATCAAGGCCATCATCTCTTTATTTAGTCTCCATAATTTTCACTCTGAAACAGCCGTGCTTAGTGGCTTAAAGAAAAAGTTAGAATGGAACAGATCCTGTTTCCCTGCAACGCCATCGCCACCAAAACAGGAAGTATCATTTCTATTGTCACAGGGCTGCAGGCTCTGAAAGTAAAAGTCATTTTGGAATTTGATTGTTATTTGTGCTCTACTATAGATCCTTATTGTGATGCTAAAGTCAGGCAGTGACTCTGGTCATTAGCCTTCATCTTCAGGGTGATAATGAATGCCACATGTATTTAAAAATAAATGTAAATGCAATCCATAAGAGTTGTTAGGATATTTTAGTCCGATATATTTTTTAAAAAAAACAACATTTTACACAGTGTAATCCACATTTATAAAAAGAACAGATCACTGCAAATTAGGAAAGTGACTCCTAAAGAAATATATTTGTTACCTATTTGTCTATTCAGTCAAAGCAAATGGGACACAGTGCCACAGAAAGGCCAGCGAGCTTGGAAAGTGTTAAAAAGGTGGGCCGCTACACATTCTTCCTTTTGATTTTTTCATGGAATTTTCAGAAAATTAAAAAGAAAAGTGATCACACCGGCCTTATCCTTTAATAGAAAATCCAGGTTAGTCTTTTGTACCACGAGTCCGGAGCGCAGCAGCAGACAGTGCAGAGTCTGAGTTACATCAGCAGCGTGAACGTGGTTGTGGTAGGGGTTGTTGTATTTGCAGTATCCTCTCTCCAGCGCGGACAGAAATTCTGTGAGGCACGAGATGGGAATCTGCAAAAAATGGTTACATAATCATCAAAAGTAAAGCTATGTTTAAAATACCACAGGTTCACAAAGTTTATGTCAACAGTCAAAGCTAAAACAACCTGGATGTTGTAATAAGGCATGATGCATGTGATTTACACACATAATTTGCTAACCCGTTAGCCCTCCAAACATCACAAAGGATAATAAAACCCATATGCCTGATAATATCTGCAAATGACAACACCAGTTTCTCGCAATAACACTCCTTCAGAGTGGCTCTGATTATATTACAGTGAGATCTTCCATCCAAAGCACTGAAATTCTCCAATGACTATAATGAGTCATTGTATAGACGATGAACTATATACAAACGAAACGATGAAATGCAAAGTTAAAAGACCTTAAAGCGACTGTTGAGCTCATATCTGGTGATCAGCTCAAAGAACAGAGTTCGGAGTGCGTGATCGGAGCTGGCTGAGTTCAGAGCAAACACATCAAAGCTCCAACGGTCCACGTCCTAAAGAGCAAGAGAGGAAAGCACCGGTGTATACTTTTGGTGTGTATACGATAGATTATGTGATGTCCATATTTTTAGCTAAGATCCAACCCGCTGTGAGAGTTATGATCAGAGGGGGCTTACCCTGAGGCAATTTACGACCGCTGCAGGTTGGTCCGGCATGGCTGCTGTGTAGGCCCTCTTGAACATCCTGGAATAAGGGGAATGTTTACGGTGAGTTCAGTTAAAGTTCAGATGTTGACGCTGTGCAGCGACCTCGGTTTAGGAGCTGTTTATATAAATCCTCTAAAGTCCCTGTCTGCTTTGGAAGGAAGTTTTAACAAGAAAATGGAGACAATGTTTCACAGTCATGTGTTTGCTGTGGACGTAATAATAACAACAGAGTGTGAGCTTGTATCGGACTTATTGCACAGACAATGAAATCAGTGATTTATAATGGGACTTTTATTATATGAGATGCTTGTTTCCTTGTTTCCTATTATTTAAGTTTCATAAAAGAGAGTTACTGCTGTATGACGGCTTCTGTGTCTTCCAGTCAGTATTTTATGAATTGCTGTTTTAAAAAAACGATTCCAGGGTTTTGAGTTCTTGTTTATCATTTTGAGTTTCGCATTGAAATTTTGATTTCATAACGATTCTGGTCATGACACTTTGAGCTTGAGATTTCATTGTCATTCTAGTGATGTCTGGTATTGTCTGTTATAGTATTGAGTCTTTGGCCCCTGTTTTTATTTTATTTTATTCTGTTCTCGTATAGTTCTCGTTCCCCTGTGGTTCCCTGTGTTTGCTTTTACCTGCTGTGCATCTCTCTCCTGGTCTTCTGGGTAGCAGTGTCCCAGTTTTAGCTTCATGGCAGCTTTTCTCATTTACTTTCTGTCTTTTCTTTCCTTTATGATCTGCTCCTCTTCAGCCTTTTTT